CCCTCTATGAGGTGGATTGATTCAGTGACTGGGGTAATCAGGATGGGTGTGTCAGAGGCAGTGAGATTGGCACAGGATAGAGCACGGTTTAGGGCTGTTGTACATAGGGCCACTATGAGTCGCAAATGACTCGACGACACATAACAATAACAACATCTGATGACAATTTTATTTTGTATTTACATCACTTAAAAATTGTTATGGAAAATACAGTGTTGTGAAATAGTTAATATGCCCCTTCCGGCCTTGTCATTGCCATTGTGTGCTGTCCAGTCGACTATGACGAACAATAATGCCGACGAACCATAGCTCTAAACTCAGCCCTATCCTGAGCCAATCTCATCATCTCTGACACACCTGACCCCACTGTCACAGTCACTATGTCAACCCATGCCATCCAGGATCTTCTTCTCCTGAGCATGATGTCCTTCTCCAAGGACTTGTCCCTCCTGACAATATGTCCAAAGTATGTGAGATAGAGTTTCAAAATCCTTGCCTCTGAGGAGCAACCTGGTTTCACCAGCTCCAGAACTGTTTTGAACATCCATGGACTGCCATGATATGTCTAATACTCTTCTCTAGCAGCACAACTCAAAGACATTAATTCCTCTATGATCCTTAGTCATTATCCAGCTCTCAAATGCATAGTAAGCAATTGAGAAGACCATGGCCTGGATCGGGAGCATCTTAATCTCTAGACTGAGGTACTTGTGACCTACCAAGAGGATTGGATAGCTTGCTTATAATATAAATAAGGTACATGGTACCCTAGTGTGGTTGGTATCATATAAATTATAGAACTCTAATTAACAAATGGATCCCACGGGCTTAAAATGAGCAATTCTTGGGACAGAGAGGGAAGATCCGAATACCATTAAGAAGATAAAAGGGAAAAGAGTCAATACTTTGTACTTACAGTCCCTGCCTGGGAACCTTCTAGGTCCAAGAGTTGAGAGAGCTATAACCCCAGAGATGGCAAAAGACTGCAAGAGGCAAAAGCACAGAAATGGCAGCAGCAGAATACCAGAACCAGGAGTCATATCAGTGAGCTTCCCAGCTCATGACATCAGAGAATGGACTCTTCAGGCAGGAGTCTAGCTGTCAGGGTGGGTGCCTCTGGGCACTTGGCAGAGCTAGACTCACAGAGACAGAGCACTGAAAGCTTTTGGTCTGAGGCTTCCTGGCAGAGTGGGGCTCTTACCGGAAAAACTGAAGAGCTTTGTAACATATATCCACGTGGCCCGATACCCTTAAGGAATCAGAGAACCAAGGACCTGATACAGAAAAGTCTGTCTTGATTTAAAAAAAAAAAAAAAAAAAAAGCTATATCCTAAGTAATTTCTGATCTGTCACTTCCTTAATACACCCCATAATCATAAGCAATGCCTGTGACTTCTGTGTAGCCACTGCACAGAATTATCAAAGCCAGCAGAGAAGTAGAGAGTACCATTGGAGGGACGGCTGCTGTTAGAATCGGTAAAGGTTGCAAACAGGAGGCATATTCGACCTTAGCTTCATAGGATTCAGCCTTGAGCTGATAAGGATGGCTACTCTTTCTCATCATGAATTTAGAGGTCACACATCCTACTAGGCCATTTTATAGGAGGAAAAAATGCTGGAGTTTCTATTTCTTCATACTTTAAAACTTACAGCTTTCTGGATACCCATAAGATTCCACCACACATACACACGTCAAAAAATCCAGAGACCAATGTTGTCATGTGCTGTCTGCGACTCATAGCGACCCTATGTACAGCAGCTCTGAAGCCTGCCCTGTCCTGAGCCAGTCTCGCTAACTCCAACACAACAACCCCCATTGCCCCAGTCACTGTATCAATCCATCCCATCCGGGGTCTTCCTCTCCTATGCTGTCCGTTCACCCTTCTGAGCATGGTGTCCTTTTCCAAGGACTGGTCTATCCTGGCCACATGACCAAAGTAAATGAGACAGAACTTCAAAATCATAGCCTCCAAGGAGAGACTTGGTTTCACTCTCTCCAAGACAGACCCATTTGTTCTCCTGACAGTCCCTGATATGTTCAAGATTCTTCTCCAATACTCCCCCAAAATACTGCTTCTGTAAATCATGTTCATTTATAATCACTTTTCTTTCTCTGGTAGCTCTTTGGCAGAAAGGAGCACAAACATTAACAAAATGTTTGATTAAGTATATAGATAATACAGGGAGCTCTGGTGGCCTAGTGGCAAGAAGTTGCACTGCAATCCTGAAGGTGCACAGTTTGAATCCACAAGCTACTCCATGGGAGAAAGATGGACAATTAACTGCCTCTGAAAACTGCTAGGCATCAGCTATGGGTCGGTTCCAACTTGATGGCACACAACAACAACACAGATAATAAGAAATAGTAGTGTCTTTTTTTAATAATCATTCCACATTATATGTGAATAAACGCTTTAATTACTTGACAAGTTAATTAATTGTCCTCAGGTTGCATTCACTCCTGCATTTTCTCAATTAGTTCTTCCTTGTATTTACCTTTCTCTTTTCAAAAATATGGAATGCTTCATGAATTTGCGTGTCATCCTTGCGTAGGGGCCATGCTAATCTTCTCTGTATCGTTCCAATTTTAGTATATGTGCTGCCGAAGCGAGCACAGGAAGATATTTTTAAGATTGAAAAATGTACATAAAAATATTTAGGAGCAACAAGGAATGAATATTTGTTTTACATTTTTATTATTTTTGTGTGCGTATACCATTACATTGGGTTTTACTGGTGCAGGAGGAGATTGTCTTTCCTGCTCTGGCAGAAGTGATTATAAATCTGCCTTTGCAATTTTGATTCCTATTTTTAAGAATAAAAATTGGAAATGTTTTTTAAAAAAATCTTCCTAAAAAGCCCTTAAGTAAATAGTCTAAAGTATCATTCTTTGCTATATTTCTAAATTGAAGATCATTTGGGTGAATTTATAAATGGACAATTTTTCTAAAAGGTAAACCAAAGTTTTAATAAATTTAATCCTGTACCTGCCGATAGGTCAGTTCTGACTCAACAGTACACGAACAACAACAACCTATTATAATGGACGATAATCGTAAAGAAAGTGCCTTTTCTCTTTTAACATTCATTCATTTACGTGGCTCATTTCCATTCAGTTAATTTGTTAAATAAATTTACACCTAGTTAATCTCTTCTTTTATGTGGAAATCATGTGGGATCTGACTAAGGATGATAAAAGAAGAATTGATTTCTCTGAGTTGTGGTAATGGAGAAAGGTATTAAATATACCATGGACTGCTAAGAGAACAGTTTTGTCCTAGAGAGGGTGAAATCAGACTGTTCTTTGGACCCGAGGATTATGAAGCTTTGTCTGGCATACTTTGGGCATGTTGCAAGGAGGGGGACCAGTCCTTGGAAAGGGACATCATGCTTGGAAGTGTGGAGGGACAGAGCAAGAGAAGAAGACCCTCGATGGGATGAATTGACTCAATGACTAGGGTAATGGGAGTAGGTGTGTCAGAGACAATTAGGCTGACTCAGGACAGAGCAGGGTTCAGAGCTGTTGTATATAGGGTCACCATGAGTGGCAAGCGACTTGCCAACACTTAATAACAATAACATTTTGTTAGGGGGAGGCATAGTCATAAAGATATTATTGACTGCATTCCAAATACCGGGAATTTAGAGAGCCCAGTAAATAGCACCCCTCACTTTCCCATTTTAATTTCAAACTCATTTAGAAATATTTATGGTGTTAGAGAGATGAATTTACAATTGAAATTTTATTTCCAATAAAGCTTGTTTTTTGCAAATAACACTTTATTTACTGAATTAGACTTACTACCTAAAACGTTGATACCCACAGTGACAGAACCTGTCCTCCAAAGCTTTCTAGTATACGGTCAAAGGCAGACCAGTGTGTGTGCCCTGCAGTCAGGCAGCTCTCAGAAAGCGGCTCAAGGGCATGCATTCTTTTCCTTTCCCCAAAACCACTGACTGTTCAGGTCACTCTTCCCCAAGAGAGAGGAACAAGTGGAGTAGGGATTTTTTTAAGCCATTATTCTAATAAACACTCCTCCATATGCAAACAGAGAAGTAAAATAAGAAGGAGAGTCTGCAATTTTTCTTAGCGTCTTTACCTCCTTCCTGGAGCTGAGCTGTGATGTTGAGTTCACACTGTACTTTGGCTTTCAACACCAGGACAATCTGCTCTTCTATCGTGATGGTGCCATCAGAATCCAGCTGTGAAAGTGACAAACAGAGAAAAACATTCCCATTATCTTGGAAAAACAAAAAACAACCACCAGAGACATATTTTCAAATGCAATCCAAAATAAAACTTTTAAAATAAGCTTTTATTTGAATATTTGTTTAAAAATTTGTACCATTTTATGGTAATCTTACTTTTACATATTTAGCCCCAAAAGGGGCAGAAATAAATAATTTAATAGCAGAGGAACAGAATCTTGGTTTACAGCACAACATACAAGGGACTATGCCACCAAAGCTTCAGAGGATCTGAATCTTAACGAGGGGAAAGTTGTATTCACTCTAGGTAGTCTGTGTGCAAAAAACTACCCCCAAACTTTGCAGCTTAATAAATATTTATTACCAAATAACTTGGGTGAGACGGATGTAATCTAGCTCAAGGGCTCTGGGTCAAGACTTTTAGCCAAGACTTGACTGGAGCTGGAGGATCAGCTTCCCAGGAACACCCACGGCTGGCTGTTGATAAGGAATCTTTATTCTTCAGTGGTTGTTGTGAGGAGGTCTCATTTCCTCGTTATGCAGTTTCCTCTTTATGGGTTGTTAGGTATCTTTTCAACTTGTCAGCTGCATTCACCCAGAGCAAACAATTAAAGAGAGAAAGCTGCATTGCCTTTCATGAACTAGTTTCAGAAGTCACTCATGGGTGGTTCCATATTTGTTAAAAGCAAATCACTCATTCAACGGGAGAGGTAGAAATCTACATCTTTTGAAGGGAGATATCAACAAAATGTAAATGTATTTTTAAATAATACTATTTTCCTGCAAGAGATCACCTATTTCATGGACAAAAAGACTGCAGAGTGTCATTATTTTCTGTAGATTTTTTAATTACAGAGTCCAAAACTTCCTAATCTGGTTACTCTTAGGAATTTAAAGATTCTTCAGTCAGATATCATGTAACACCAGTTCATTTACCTAAATAGAATCCTCCCAATAACATTATCCTTTGCAAATCTCATATCTTTGATTCCAGGTTATACATTTATTCTCTAAAATAATTTCTATAATTGCACAATTTTTATTTTGTACAATAAGATATTATTAATTAATATTAGAAATAAAAAAGATGTTTACCTCAGTCCATAGAAAGTATATCTAGAGATTACTGATAATTATTTTTTTTAATGACATGTTTAAAGAGAGATGAACTACAGAAAGAAAATCTACTGCAAGGACTGATTTTTAGCACTTAAAAACATGTGCCTTATTCTTGGAAATCTATCATTTTGTAATGTCTTTTACAGGACAGTGGATAATAGACAATTATGCAGTTTTGGAGATTCCTGGATTACAGTCATAGTTCAATGTCTAAGGTTCTTCTAATTATTTTTATAAAAAAGAAACAATACAATATGCAAAACAATCAAGTTTGTGGGTTGGAATGGATGCTAGAATTACACAGTCAAGCTAACCCGACCCATTTCTGGGATGATGAATTAGATACACATTTTCATACTGGTTTCTCTAAGTACAACTGAAAACCCTACGTGTTATATTTAAAACCAACCTAATACAACTGAAAGGCAGAGAAAAGAACCCAACTGACTAGGGATTCCAGAACCTAGGGAACTGAAGCCAAGGGGTTCACTGGGTTTTCCTTTTGCCTCACATACATGCAATCTGGAGATAATAAAAACTCACAGCTCAGAAATAAACACACAAGACCACTGTTAAAAATGGGAGCGTTATGAGAGAGGTGGGTGATGGGATGAGCAGGAAAAAAATGGACATGCTGCATTGGAATAAGTGAAAGGAAGGTCAATTTACAAAGACTGGACGATCAGACAGTTTGCGTAACGAAACTAACAGTCTAGAACAGGATATGTATTATGGAATGAAGAGGGAGAAGGAAGTATAAAGTGAGTGAAAAATGAGTAAACTTTCATTCATATCATAATTTTCAAAAGTCTTAAGAAAATCTGCTTTCTCAAGCCAAGGGCCAAGAGATGGGCAAATTTTTAGACAATATTTACTCTACTCCAGCCAAATATCATAGAGTGGGGTGGGGAGTGGGATAGAGGAGACCAGAAGCTTATTCTATAGAATTCTATCATGGAACTTCATTTTAATGTGAAAATGAAAGCACACAATAGTTACCACAATCAAGACAGTATTAACTTTTTTGGAACATAACAAGTCATTAAGAAGTAGACCTTTTCATTTAGGCAGTTGGCATCTAGAACTTCACATTAACACAAAATCAGGTTACATGCCAAATTGCAGATCTGCATGCATCTGTAGCAGCTGCCAGCCTTCCATCCCTTAACTAGTGTTACTGCTCCAGGCAACACATCTGTGTCCTTGAGCAAAGGGTCTTATAGCTCAGCGGCGGGACCCTGGGAAACAAGAGAGACCAGAATAATCATCTGGTTGATAGCCATCAGCAATGTGGAGGCTGGTCTTGAACAAGTGATAAGATTAAGTCTCCATCAATAAATGTCAACAAGTTATTCGCAAAAATTCCACATACAAGAAACTGTGTACACATTAGCTTTAACAATTGCACAGTATTTTAAGAGTCAATGGGAAAATGACAATAAGAACTTGTAAATTAAGACATTTTCTATGACCTTTTGGTATGAAGGCAAATATTGGAACTAAAATTTAACTTCTCTGGTTTCTGCTATAAAGTTATGAGCATGAGGCAACAGCCAGTTTATGAGTGAAAGAGACGAGGTCAAAAATAAATTTATTTTAGATAGTTGAATCAATGCTGGGTAGAGGGCAGGCAGTAAAAAGTGGTAAGGTGCATTGAGCAGTTAAATCAGCAGACATGGGAATGAAAAAGGATTTCTAAAAGGGTATAAAGTAAGAATCTGTGTGGTTTTGCTGGAGGGAAAATTAAATCCAAGGAAGGAAAAATAAAGTTTATTTGACATGACTGTGAAAGTTCTGTGTACTTTGGGAGACAAATTTTAAACAAAAGGAAGAGGCACAGAGGCAGTGACTCAGAAATAAAGCTGCTGCCAGGTTGATGTCTCCTCCCAAAGAGACCATCATCATTCAAAGATAGATCTAAACATTAACTTTAAAAACATTTCTAAAAATACTAAATAAGACGATTGATTCTATAGCAGAAATTGGCCAGGCCATTCTCATACCTGACTGTGGGTACACCATCTAAACTGCACAAAAACGGGAATAAATAGACAAGATGCATCAGACACAAAGAAGATGAACGAACCCTGAAGGAAGGGAGACAGAAGTCAAGGTCAGAGGCAAAGGGGTCATCTTTGCATTGCTGGTTGTCTTTTCCTCTACAGTAAGTGCATCTGGGGAAAGCAGACAAATTTCACTGATTTTTAAAGAATGCACAATAAATGTCCTGGTGGTGGTTGCTGGTAGATACCACTGAATTAATTCTAACTCATAACACAACACAAAAACTGCCCTCCACAATCCTTGCCATCACGGCTGTACTTGAGGACATTTTTGCAGCCAGTGTGGTAATCATCTCTTTGAAGGGCTTTCTCTTTTTCATTGCTGTTTTACATTTCCAAGAATTACGTCCTCCAGAGACTAGTGTCTGCTAGTAACATGTTCAAAATACACAAGACAGTCTCACTGTCCTACCTTCTAGAAAGCATTTGGTGGTACTACTCCCAAGATAGATATGTATCTTCTTTTATTTAGTCACTGGTACATTCCATATTCTTCAAAAAGGCATTCTTCAAACACATCCTCTGTCTTATGATTTCCTTTTTTTTATTTCCTTATTTTTAATATTTCCTTTATTACCTAAGTTTCACATGCATATGAGGCAACTGAAAATATCTTGTCATTTTCATTCTCAAAGTGCTTTTCTGACACTTTAACAAGGTCATTTGCAGCAGATTTTCCAATGCAATACATCACTTGACATTTTTACTTCTATCTCTATAGGCATAGATTGTGGATCCAAATAAAATTAAACCACTGACAACATTCTTTTCTGCTTTCATCATAATGTGGATTACAGGCCCAGTTGTAAGGATTTCTGTTCCCTTATGTTGATGGATAATTCATACTCAAAGCTGTAGTCTTTGTACTTCTTCAGTAATGCTTCAAGTCCTCTCCACTTTCAGCAAGTAGGTTTATGTCATCTGCATATAAGGTTGTTAACAAGTCTTCTTAGAATCCTGATGCCCCATTGTTTTCCTTATAGTCCAGCTTTTTATATTATTGGCTCAGCATATATACCAAAGAAAAATATAAAAAGGATACCATGAACCCACATTTATTTATTTCAAATCACATTGTTGTTATGTGTTGTCAAGTCAACTGCAACTCATAGTGACCCAATGCACAATAGTTCTGAACCCTGCCCTGTCTTGAGCCATTCTCACTGTTTTCAACACATCTACCCCCATTTCCCTAGTTACTATGTTAATCCATCCTATCCAGGGTCTTCCTCTCCTGTACTTATCTTCCACCCTTCTAAGCATGACATCCTTCTCCCAGGACTGGTCTTTCCTAGCAGTACACTTAAAGTATGTGAGACAGAGCTTCACAATCCTTGCCTCCGAGAGCAGCCTGGTTTTGCCCTCTCTAGGTCCTATCTGTTTGTTTTCTTGGCAGTCCACAGTATATTCAATACTCTTTTCCAGCACCACAACTCAAAGGCATCGATTCTTTTTCTGTAATCCTTTGTCATTGTCCAGCTCTTTGATGCATAGCAAGTAATTACAAAAACTATGGTCTGGATCAGATGCACCTTAGTCTCTAATGTTTCCTTTTTCTGTCCAAACAACTCTCTCTTGACCTATATACAGGTTCCATATGAACACAATTAAGTGTTCTGGAATCCCCATTCTTCTCAAGAGTATTCATAATTTATTCCTATCCACATAGTGACTAAAACACAAGTAAACGTCTTTCTGGTTCTCTGCTTTCAGTCAAGACCCATCTTCCTTCACTCATGGCATCACTGACTACACATTCTCTTTGAATCTGACGTGAATTTCCAGCAGTCCCCTGCAGATGTACTGCTACAA